TGGCTCATCTGGCCATACAGTGGTGTGATGTGTTGACTATCCGTTCACTCTGTACTTAACACAGAGCGATGTGTGACGGCTCGCGGTCTTCAGAGACAATCACAGAATATGACAGAGCTTGTGTTTAAAAGCGAAACACACTGGAATGAATAATTCACTGAAAATGCAACGCAAGTCTCTGCTCTCTCTGCAATCTCTGATTTTTTGGATGGATTGTTTGAATGCATTCGCTTACTGGATCATTGGACTGAAAACTTTCCCGGAGTTTAGTGGCTTAAAATTATCTGATCACAAACAGAGAAGCAAAATTGGGATAAAGGATTAGAATAGAAATTGTGCTTCAGTAATTTTGTGTTAATTGCATTAAATTATTTTAACGTGTTAAGGATTGTAAAATTAATCGCATGCGTTAACGCGTTAATGTTGACAGCCCTAATATATGTATATATATTAATCTGCCCGGCAGAAGAAAGAAAATGCACGTTGTTCCAGGAAATCCCTATCGCTGCAGTTGAACTGCTTTCATTGATTCAACTTGACTAATAAACACACAACTATGACAATATATGGTTTATCTGAGTTCTTATTATAATTTTCATTAAAATAAAGTATATTTATAACGCAATGTTAATCGACATAGCCTTTATCACTGCATAGAATACTATGAAATAATATGTTGCGTGCCTTATTCTGCGTAAGAAGTCACATCTCACAGAAGGGTTTTATTTCAAACACTCGACTGACGTAATGAAGTGAGTTTGGAGTAAAAACAAATTAAAGGGGACCTATTATGCAAAATTCACTTTTGCAAGGTGTTTGGACATAAATGTGTGTTGGCAGAGTGTGTACACAACCGCCCTATAACGTTAAAAATCCACCCACTCCTTTTTTTTTAAATCCCCATAAATAATAAGCAGTGTCTCCCAATGGCCTGTTTTCAGCATTGGTGCTAATGTGATGTCACATTAGCCCCAGGCCCCGCCCATGAATGTTGACAGACACTGCCGTTTTAACAAAGAACCGCCCTGAGCGAGTTCACAGCGAGTTGTACACAGTCTGCCATTGCTGCACTGACGAGAATGTCTCCCAAGCGTTTTAGGTGTTTTGTAGCTGGCTGTATTAATCCACATAGCTCTCTCCATTTACTCCCGAAATCTGAGCCGCCGAAGACGAGGTGGATTAAAAGCCTTGACTTTGTTGAATAAACATGAGCACTGCATGTGTCAAAGTCGAAACCCGGTGCGGGTGTTTTTATATCACTGTATTTCTGAAGGAGACCGACTGTCTTCAGAAAATTATGGATGTCATTTTCATTTCATCTTGCCTGTAATGCCTGATAAAGCAGCGTTTGTGAGCTCAGCGCTTATTTGATTACAGCCGTTACCGGGCAAACCTGATCGCTTACACTCTACAAGCGCCTCCTGCTGGCAGACAATGAATTTGCATTTATATGCCACCACAAATAGAGAGCAAATCTGTGGGAAACACCGCTTCTGTTATGAATATTATTCAACATTTTAATATGAATGTCGGATTGAAATGAACATCACTGTTATTAGAGTAGTTAATCGTTAGCATAAGCACGGCTAACGCTAATAAAATGAGCATTAGAATGAAGTTTCTTTA